TTAGAAGGAGGCCGCTTCTTAGAAGGCGCCGGCCTTACATCTACAGATAAGGCCCGCGCCTTCTAAGAAGCAGGGGTGCTTCTAAGAAGCCCACCCCCCTCACCCCACCCCAGCCTAATCTTTAGGTCGGGCATGTCCTCCTACAGGCGCATGTTGGAAGAAAGATAGAAAATAGCCAAGAACTGCTCAAACACTCTCAAACATAGTCAAATTATCCCGGCAAAGCAACCTAACAGCGATGTGTAGAAGCATATCTGGAAGCATTCCCCTTAAGATTTAGGTGAGAATCCAACTGTAGAATTCTGCTGTTCTCGCAGTCAGCAGCCTCAGCCTGCCTGCTTCAGCCTCAGCCTCAGCCTGCCTCAGCCTCAGCCTCAGCCTGCCTCAGCCTGCCAGCCTCAGCCTCAGCCTCAGCCTCAGCCTGCCTCAGCTCAGCCTCAGCTTGCCTCAGCCTCAGCCTCAGCCTCTTGCCTCAGCCTCAGCCTCAGCCTGCCTCCTCTCAGCCTCAGCCTCAGCCTGCCTCAGCCTCAGCCTCAGCCTGCCTCAGCCTCAGCCTGCATCAGCCTCAACCTCAGCCTGCAGCCTCAGCCTCAGCCTCAGCCTCAGCCTCAGCCTGCCTCAGCTTCAGCCTCAGCCTCAGCCTCGGCCTCAGCCTCAGCCTCAGCCTGCCTCGGCCTCAGCCTCAGCCTCAGCCTGCCTCAGCCTCAGCGTCAGCCCCAGCCTGCATCCGCCTCAGCCTCGGCCTGCCTCAGCCTCAGCCTCAGCCTCAGCCGAAACTTGCCTCAGCCTCAGCCACAGCCTCAGCCTCAGTCTCAGCCTGCCTCAGCCTCAGCCTCAGCCTGCCTGGGCTTGCCTCGGCCTCAGCCTCAGCCTGCCTCGGCCTCAGCCTCAGCCTCAGCCTGCCTCAACCTCAGCCTCAGCCTGCCTCAGCCTCAGCCTGCATCAGCCTCAGCCTCATCCTGCCTCAGCCGCAGCTTGCCTCAGCCTCAGCCACAGCCTCATCCTCATCCTCAGCCTGCCTCAGCTTCAGCCTCAGCCTCAGTCTGCCTCGACTTGCCTCAGCCTCAGCCTCAGCCTGCCTCGGCCTCAGCCTCAGCCTCAGCCTGCCTCAGCCTCAGCGTCAGCCTCTCAGCCTCAGCCTGCATCAGCCTCAGCCTGCCTCAGGCTCAGTCTCAGCCTGCCTCAGCCTCAGCGTCAGCCTCTCAGCCTCAGCCTGCATCAGCCTCAGCCTCAGCATCAGCCTGCCTCAGGCTCAGTCTCAGCCTGCCTCAGCCTCAGCCTGCCTCAGCCTCAGCCTCAGTTGGCTCCGGGCAATCAAAATGTAGCCTGGGAATGGTGTTCTGGGAACGCGAAGAACACGAAGTGGCCTACAATTGGCTCCGGGCATTCAACATGTGACCCGGGAATAATGTTCTGGGAACACGAAGAACACGAAGTGGTCTACAATTGGCCCCGGGCATTCAAAATGTGGCCCGGGAATAATGTTCTGGGAACACGAAGAACACGAAGTGGCCTACAGTTGGCTCCGGGCATTCAAAATGTGGCCCGGGAATGGTGTTCTGGGAACACGAACACGAAGTGGCCTACAGTTGGCTCCGGGCATTCAAAATCATGCCCAGGAATGGAGTTCTGGGACCTCGAAGACCACGAAGTGTGTAACTGTTTGCTTAAAACTACTTCCGCGGGTTGTCCCCGGCACCCGCCCAGACCCCCCTGGGAGTCAAGATGCTCTCTTTTGACGCTACTAGAAACCTATCAGTCTTCGCTGTTAGGTAGAAATCGTCCCCAGACTATCTTTTGACTATTTTTGAATGTTCCTCCTGTAAAGGGACGCGCCCGACTTAAACCTAACCCGAAGACCCGAATTTCGGGCTGGGGGGGGTACGGGTTCCACACGAGCTTTTTCACTGTTCCCCGACCCCCCCCCCCGCCCCACTGGAAATGGAGGGCAGATCGGGGACTTCAGGTTGGGCTGGGGTGGCTTGGTGAACAATGAACGACTGCATGAGCATCAGCTTTCGGAGATCCTCGCGGGCTCCTAGGATCGGCGCCGAACGGCTCGGGCCGGACGAAACGGGGGGCTGGTAAAGGTCCGATCACGCAGTTAAAGGGGCCCTGGGACACAACGAAATAGACACACATCCCAGATTTCCCCATAGTTTCCCATGTGTTCTGGGTTTTCGTCTCCCCCCCCACTTCCCATAGTTCTCCACATTTTCCTGGGAATCGCCGATTCACTGTGTCAGTACGTCTTTTCCCCTCCTGAGCGTAGCCCATGTCCCGCCGCCGAGCGGCGCCGAGGCAGCATCGGCGAAGGCGCCAGGTGGGGAGCCGAAACCGGCCGCACGAGGCAGACTCCAACCCCCCCCTTTCCCGGTCCCCCCTTGGTACCGACCTGCCCTCCGTTTCCACTCCGACCCCCCCCTTTCCCGGTCCCCCCTTCCGGTCCCCCACTCCGACCCCCCCACCGAGGAAACCAACAGGTACCACTACGGCTGCTCCCCGGACCTCTCCTGGAGTGCGTGCCACCTGGGATTTCGAGGCGACGCAGCGGTGGCGACCGAGGGCCGCCCGGGAAGCCCACAAGGGGGAAGACGAGGGAAGGGTAGCGGTATGGGTACCTTTCCCTCCTCTGGCCCCCTTCGTCCGACCCTGCCATCAGACCTCGCTCCAGCGCGGTACCGTGCACAGATGTGCGGCTCCGAGAAGGAGGAGGAGGGGTGAGTGGTGTGTGGCGCGCTGGACTTGAGGATAACTGTTCGACCTCCCGTAGGTTTCCAGTGACGCGAGCTGGCCCCAAGACGAACCAAGGTGGCCCCAAGACGGCCCGAGAGGCACAATGCCCCAAGAAGGCTCCAAGGGGTCCGCAGGGAGTTCCTGCGGTTCTTCTTTGCCGCTCCGAAATGTGCCTTTTTCGGCCTTCAGAGGCGGCCCCACGACGGCGCCCAAGACGGCCCAGGAGAGCCCAAAGGCGCCCCGAAGACGGCTCAAAAGCCCCCCAAATGCGGCATCCGAATGCGTGAGGCGGCCCGACCAAGAGCGCCCTCACATGCCCTGGCGTCGTGGGGGCAGGGGGGAGGGCAAGCTAGGGGGGGGGCCTGACGTGACGTCCCCCGCCCGCCGTCTGGCTCCGGCACCGCAGCGCCCGTGCGCACCACGGCATGCACCGCAAGGCGCACCGGCGTGTCCGCGTGCAGCACAGCGCCCGTGTGCACCGCAACTCCTGCGTGTACAACACTGTCCTCCTCCTCCTCCTCCTCCTCCTCCTCCTCCTCCTCCTCCTCCTCCTTGTTGCTTTCGTGCACCATGGCGCCTGCGCACACCCACCGCAGCAGCCGCGTTCACGGGAGCGCCTGCGCACACCGCAGCGAGGACGTGCACAGCAGCACACGTGCACACCACAACCCCTACGTCGAGTACACTTCTGCTGTGGACTTCTGCTCTGGGAGGAATCTGGGCGCCGCCTCGGCCCGAAGGAGGAAGCGAGCAACAGTGGTGCCTTTACGCACGCATACTACTGGTGAGCAACTAACTGTGAGAACACGACTATATTTTCTGACGACCACACGACGACGACCACGATGACGACCGGAAGGATGATCACGACGACTAAGTCGACGACCAAGAGGATTACCAAGACTACGACAATTACGATAGTCACGACAACGATCAGAATGACGATCACACGCAGACTACGACGACTGCCGCTACGACCAAGACGGATCCGAAGACCACGACGATTCTGACGACGACGACGACGGCTACAACAGTCACAGCAACTATCAACACGACCACAAGACCACCACGACGACGATTATGACGACTACGCCCACCCCGTCCCCCTCCACCCTGCCTCCATCCTCCCTCCCCTCCTGGTACCACTGCTACTGATACTCCCGTTGCCGCTGTTTCTGTCACCAATACCACTACTACAACTGATGCTACCCTGCCAGCACCAGGTTACCGATTGAACTCCGCGCGCATGCGTAAAAACATGCCGGACCCTGCAAGTGCAACAATAGCCTGTGAGCGCAGCACCATGTCTGCAAGTACGGGCAATGAGCCTGTGAAAGTGACACCAGCCCTTGAACACCAGCAGCCCGAGAGCACCATGGTAGCCCGCGAGCACCACAGTAGCAACTAGCATGAGAGCGCCACAATGGCCTGCGATGAAACGCAGGCGCTGCGACCGAACATTGCGAGACTGTGCTGCGTGCGCGCACTGCGGCAGTGCTGGAGGCGGGGGGGGGGCGGGCGTTACGTTTAGGGGGGGAGGGAGGGGGGGCATAAAGCGCGTTACGGGCCCAGAGGGTTAAAAAGCACTCTCAAAGGCCCCTCAGATAGAAAGCCACAAACACCCGACGAGAGACCCAAGACAGCCCTCATCCGCGCTTCTTCCTCCTTGGTCTCCTCCTCCTCCTCTCCCTCCTCCTCCTCCTCCTCCTCCTCCTCCTCCTCCTCCTCCTCCTCCTCCTCCCTCGCATCCTCCTCGGTATTATCCTCCTCATCCTCATCCTTTATCTGTTTTCGATCAGATAACTCCTCCCTATCGGAACCCAAGAAGTGCTGGTAAGGCGGGCCAGGCGTTTCGCCTGCGGATCCATTATGATCATGAAGCTTACACCTCGCAACAGTCACACGGATGGAAGGGGGGTCCTTTCACAATAAAGCTCTCGCCCTAGCACCGCGCACATTCGTGTTCGAAGCTGTGCTCATCTACAAGGATGGAGCACAGGTGGTTTTCAAAATGGGGCTCTCGCCGTAGAGCCGCGCACACTCGTCAAAAAGGCTCGCAAAAATTACACAGATTGGATGGGGGGTTATTTTCAAAATGGGGTCCGGAGGGCGGCTCTTTTTCCAAATTGGGCTGTCACCTCAGCGCCGCGCACATTAGTTTCAAAAGCTTGCTTCAGTTACATGGATGGAGGGCGAGTCCCTTTCAACATGGCGCGGTCGTCCTAGCCCTCGGGAAGGGCCGTTCTCTCTCTCTCTCTCTCTCACACACATTGATGCACTCTGCATTTCTGAAAAAGGGGCTAAGCGATTAAGCCCACCGTAGCTTTGGAGCACCCCCGCTGCCAACGTGTACCAGACTGGCCGGCAGCTGGAGTGGAGTGCACAAAGGGAAGAGCACGCGAGGTAGGACTTTGTACTGCTTGGTAGCGCCAACCCAGACATCGGCTGTCTCGATGCTCTCAATCCGCGGGCCCCGACACTTCTCCGGGGGGCTGGGCCGTCGTCCCAAAATCTGCAACGAAGAACCCTCGGGAGGTCGTTGTCGGACGGTCCTGGAGCCCAGGTGGCCGGAAACGGCAGGAGCGCGTTTTTTTGTGAGGCGATAATGGGCATATCATGGGGGGGTGCGGGGAGGGGCCAGGGGGGGTATAATGCAACGCCTCCCCCCCGGCGCGCGCACGGCGGCAGTGCCCGGAGCGCACTTGGGGGGGGGCGGGGCGTTACGTTATGGGAAGGGGGGAGGGGGGGCCGGGGGCTATAACGCCCATTAGGCCCCAAGCAATCAAGAGACACGCTCCAGAAAAAGCCTCCACCCTGTTTGGGTTCCGGGACGGCAGAGGTCTGGGAGGGTCGGCAACCGCCCTTTTGAAATCCACACGGCCCGGTGGCTGCAGAGGCAGGACGGCCAAGAGAAGCAGCAGCGCTGCCTGGCACAGGGGCGGCACGGCTCCGACAGGAAGCGCCTCTAGGATTGGGGCGGGCATGTCCCCCTGCAGGCGGATTTCAGACGAAAGCTGCAACATAGTCCAACAACGCTTCAAAATGGTCCAGAACTGTCGAAAAATCGTCCCCCGACTGTGTTCTCACTACTTGCGTATAGATTCCTCCTGTAGAGGGACATGCCCGACTTATCTCTAGGAGTGCTATCCGGCGGCGGCGACGACGACGGCGTCGATGTTCGGCATCGACGCCGACGCCGACGCCAGCGCAGGCCGGAGGAGGCAGAGGCGCATGAGCGAGTGGCAGCGTCAAGGGGAGGTCCAGCTCAGGGGGACATCGACCGATACATACGTCCCCTTACATGCGGACTTTGGAGGAAGAATGAAACATAGTCAACAAAATACTCTGAACTTCTGAATATCGGGCGCCTTTGCCTCGGCGATGGCTTGGCAATCTTGGGCCCCTGCGTTCCCCCCTGAACATATCCCCGTCAACCCCCACGTCTCGAAAACCCTGGAGAACTTCCGAAGAAACCCCCGAGACTTTGGAAACATCCGAAACGCCCGAAAACGAAAACCAGGAGGCTCGAATATTACCATCACCGAGATCGGGATCACCTTCCCTCGGTGGAGGCACACCGCTGATCCTGGTGCTGGTGCTGACCTCCAGGCCTCCGAAGCTGGTCGGTCCCTGCCCGCCCGCCTTTTTTGATCTGTGACCGCTGCCCGATGCTGCGCACGCCCGGCACGGGTACGGAAAAAAGGAATACGATACCCAACAACAGCTGCTGTCCCTACCCGACAGCGGCCGATGCGGCACATGCGACCTCTTGTCCCAAATGTACCACGCCCGCGGCGACGCCGACGACGAATCCTGCTCGGATCGGACAGGAACTAGAGGCCTCCAAGATGGGGTCGGAGGAGGTGGGGTCGGCGCGCCACATCGCCGATACATCGGCGACGCATCGGAAACGCATCGGCGATGCATCGGCGATGCACAAGCGATGCGTCGGCGACGTCGTCGGTGCATCCGGTGACGCCAGCGTGGAAAAGACCTGGCTCCACATCGAACCGCATCGCCGATGCATCGGCGATGCGGCGCGGCCCTCCGACCCCATCCGCTCCGACCCCATCTGGGAGGCCAGAAGGAACTGCTGCCAGTCTGCGCACCCGCGCTTTCCGTACCCGTTTCGAATCGCACCGAGGTGCGCAGCTGCCCAGGGCAGGCTGCCCTGCCAGGGGCCCAAGCAGACCCGCCGCAGGGCCGCGCCCCGCCGCCGGGGCCCCGCGCTGGGCGGGCGCGCCGCGCCCCTCGGCCGCGCCAGGCGGGTCCGAAGCTGCCCTGCTGCCCTCGGCCGAGCTGGGCGCCCGCCCGCGCAGGGCGCGCCAGAGCTGCCTGCGCGACAGAGGGGCCGACGGGTCCCCGCGGGCGCGCGGCCAGCGCCGCCGCAGCGAATGCATCACTATGTACTTAGCGGTCTTCCGCCGCAAACGACTGTATAATTATGTACGCGCGCGCGTGTGCGTGCGTGAGTGTCCGCGAGCGTGTGTGTATGTGTGTGTGAGTGTGTGTGTGCGTGCATGTATGTATGTATGTGTGTACGTATGCATGTAGGTAGGTAGGTAGGTATGAATGTATGTATGCATGTATGTATGGATGCATGTATGTATGTATGTGTGTATGTATGCATGCATGCATGTATGCGTGTAGGTAGGTAGGTAGGTAGGTAGATATGTATGCGTGTACGTACGTACGTGCGTACGTATGTATGTATGTATGAATGTATGTATGTATGTATGTATGTATGTATGTATGTACGTATGTACGTATGTACGTATGTACGTATGTAAGTATGTACGTATGTACGTATGTACGTATGTACGTACGTGCGTATGGTTGTATGTATGAGTGTGTGTATGTGTGTGCATGTATGTGTGTATGTATGTATGCATGTATGTACGTATGCCTGCATGCATGCCTGCATGCATGCATGCATGCATGTATGTACGTATGTATGCATGAATGCGTGTATGTATGAATGTATGGATGTATGTATGCATACATGCATGTATGTGTGTGTCTGTGTGCGTGAGTGTGAGTGTATGTATGCATGTGTGTATGTATGTATGTATGTATGCATGCATGTATGTATGTATGTATGTATGTATGTACGTATGTATGTGTATGTGTATGTGTATGTGTATGTGTATGTATATGTATGTATGGATGGATGGATGGATGGATGGATAGATGGATGGATGGATGAATGTATGTATGTATGCATGCATGCATGCATGCATGTATGTATGTATGTATGCATGTATGTATGTATGGATGTATGTATGTATGTATGTACGTGCGTCCGTACGTACGTACGTACGTACGTATGTATGTATGTATGTATGTATGTATGTATGTTTGTATGTATGTATGTATGTATATATGTGTGTATGTGTGTCTGTGTGCGTGAGTGTGAGTGTGTGTATGTGTGTATGTATGCACGTATGTATACATGTGTGTGTCTGTGTGCGTGAGAGTGAGTTTGAGTGTGAGTGTGAGTGTGAGTGTGAGTGTGAGTGTGGAGTGTGAGTGTGAATGTGTGTGAGTGAGTGCGAGTGCGAGTGTGAGTGTGTATGAGTGTGAGTGTGTGTGTGTGTAAGTGTGCGTGCGCGCGTGCGTGCGTGCGCGCGCGCGTGCGCGCGTGCGTGCGTGCGTGCATGCGTGCGTTGCGGAGATACCCCGTTGGGCACGTTCATCTTCCGCCCTGGCAAGGATCTACAGCTCCAGCTGTGCCACGGGCACCCGCTCTTCCATGCAGGCGCGCAAGCGTTCGCCAGCACACGACGGAACGACACGTGGTTCTGCGAGGACAGTCTCGCACACCTGCGGGGCGCCCGCCCAAGCCAGGCCAGGGCCGTCCTCGAGAGGGATGGGCGCGCCCTCTTCCCCAAGGCTGCGCCCCTCTCCCTGCGTCGGTTGACCCTTCGCAATCGCGCTCACAGGGCAGCCTGCCTCCGCCTCCCGTCGACGATCAGCTACCAGACCCTCCTTAGGCGCCTGGGCCCCCACGCCAGCGACGGCGGGCGCACCCCGGTAGGACGCAAGGGCCGCAGGCGCTACAGCCCCGCCCGCCCCACAGCGGCAGCGCCCCCAGAGTCGCAGTCCGACCCGCCGACGGCCTCGCAGCCTGGGCGCCAACAGGCTGGGCAGCGCTGGCAGGCCACCCAGGAGCAGGTCGACCTCCGCGCTCACCAGCCACTCCCCAGGCAGCAGCCCAGCATCCTCGCGACAGCGCCAGACAAGCCGCAGCCGCCGAGACACGCAGCTATCCTCTACCCGTCGCGGCAGGGCAACGCCGGAACGCCGCCGCGTCGACCCCCGCAGCCCCCGCGTCCGCACGCGACCATGGCCTAACTGTTCAGCCTCAGCACGGAGGACAGACGGAGACGCCCACGCAAGACGGTCAACACCGCCGGCGCGGCCCCCAGTCCGCCTCCTGGATGGACTTCCCTGCGTTGACCCACCGACCTGCGCCAACCATAGGGCAAGGGACATTGCGGCTCCAGTAGCCGCGCTGCACATTCATCTGGACTCTGCGCGCGGAAGTGCGGACAATACAATCGCGCACTTCATGCTGACGTTTGCCCGATCAGCCTTTCTCGCGGAGGACGGCGAGCGCTGGAGGGCACGGACGAAGGAGAACGCGCCCCCCTCGCTTCGCAGGCCCGGGAAATGCATGAGCGCGCCTTCAAGACCCCAGGGCATGGCCCGCCGCAAACTGTCAGGAATGCCTCGCCTCCGTCTACGGCGATTCCACCCCACCCTCTGGGCCCCCCCTGGGAGCCCAGCGAGGCGGCGCGCGTGCCACCCTGGCCCTGCTGGTCGGCCACCTTCACCGCCAGGGCCCCCCCAAGCCCCCCCCCCAGCCCCCACAAGGGACCTGACGAAAAGGGTATGCACCGCAGCAAACACGACCCCCGAGCACCCGTGAAGGGACGAGACCCTGCTCGGTACAGCCAGGACATCCTGCTCGGCTACCTGAGCTATAAAGGGATCACGTCGATTCAACACCCGCTGGCGCGCGGGCACCGACAGACAGCGGCAAGGAGGAAGCTAGCCCTCACTGGCGCGGCCAGGCGCTCCCACGCAGGCGGCAGCAGGCTGCCCCCAGAACGCAGAGCCAAAGGAAGAGCCTGGGCCCAGCCAGCCCCGCAGCATTGCCCTGCGCAGCCCAGCAGCATTGCCCCGCGCCCCCCCCAGCACCACCTCGGCCGAGCCCCGACCGGCCTGACGGCAGCCCGCCCGCCCCCTCCTGCGAGGCGCAGATCGGCGGCGACCGCCGCCAACGGAGGGGGGCGCGCGCCCGGCTGCACTGCCAGGAAACTCCCCAGAGGCGGGGCGTGGCCATGGCGACGGCAGCTCAAGCCCCCCCGGCGTCTCGTGGACGCTCCGATGCATCCGCCTGCGACTGGGGCCCCCAGGAGCGACCTCCCTCCCACTGGCAGCCCAGCAAGCAGCCACTCCGAGAGGCGACGTGGCCCAAGTAGCTCCTCTCAGACGTCTGCTCGCGTGGCCCCCTCTGAAGGGGCCCTGGGACACACAAATAAATACATACAAATAAAAGGACTCCCCATCTTCTCCCATGTTTTCTGGGTTTTTGTCTTCCCCCCCACTTCCCATATTTTCCCATGATTTCCTGGGAGTGGACGAGCAGCTCGGCGCCGGCGCCCTGCTGACTGACTGCCGCGGAGGAGCCGCCGCGCAGAGACCCCCGGGAGCGATGAGCAACACGACCCGGGCGCTTCCAGAAGGTGGCGCAGATGGGACAGCGGAGCGAACTCCGCCTCCGCGGCAGGAGCCAACGTCTTGGCAACCGCCCCCCGACCCAATGCCTCCGACCCGATGCGATGCCACGGATCCGCTCTATTGCGAGCCGCGGCACGAGGTGGCGCGGCACCCCACCCAGAACTGTGATACCAAATCGAGGGAGGACTGGCAGGAGATGGTCAAAGGCCTCAAAAAGGAACGCGGCCCCATGCTGGCGATCGGCTGGAATGCCGTCTGTGACCATGAGAGGAGACAGCACTCCACCATGGACCCCAAGCGGCACCTGGCTGAATTTTGCCAGAGCTTCGTACGTGAGCCCAGCCAGTCCAACTACGATGTCCGCGGCCTTTGCAGGTACAAGGGCATCCGAGTCGATCGGGACTCTGAGTGGCATCGAGAACTTGACGAGAGGAGACAGAGTGCTGAGCTTGCCAAGGGCAAGGGGAAGAGGCCCTCGCCGCAGGGGAAAGACAAGCGCCCTGCCGACTCCTCCTGGCCCAACAACGACCCCACTCGTCAGCCCTGGTCAGCCTCGAGCAGCCACCGCTGGTAGCCCTCCGCAGCTGCCGCACCACTGGGACCTATTCTGAATCATCTGCAGGACTTGGGCAGTGGCCCACTTGGCCGTCTGCCCTCCTCCACCCTTGCCTTTGCGGCTCTCCTTTCGCCGCATGCATCTGTTCGGCGCCCCCCCCCGCCGACCTCCACCTTCCGCTCGGAATCTGCTCTTCACGCATGCTCTCCTGGCCCTGCGGCTGTCCACGGTGCCCCCCCGTGCACTGCGCCGCTTCGCCGGCCGTCGTGCTTCTCCTCGGGGGCTCCTTGCTACCGCGCGGGGTGGCTGCTTTGTGGCCTCCTTGCCTCCGCCCGGGCGCCGCCCCTCCCGGGGGGCGGCTGGCCCGCGCCTAGGCAGGCTGGACTTGCCGCCTGCCTTCGGCCCCTGGGCCCCCCCCCCACTCCGGCCCCGAGGGTGCCCTGCCCCGCCGCCGCTTCCTCCCGCTACGGCCCGGGTTCGCTGGCCTTCTGCAGGTTTTGCCCAGGCCCCGCCTGTGGCACTAACGACTTCTGCGCCGGGCCCCATGCCGGCTGGGCGACCTTGGTGCCCCCACCAGGGTCCTCGCCCTCTGCCTGGTTCTCAGACCTCGCATCCGTCCACTGGTCACCGGCGCGCTGGACGCTGCCGCGCTCCTGCGGCGCCTTGCCCCGCCATCGCGACATGCGCCTCGTAGGCCATCTGGTTTCGGCGCCCGCCCCGCCCCAGTGGCCCCCCTGGCCCACGCCGCTCCCCCTTTCGGCGCGGTCCTGTCTTCCCGCTTCCCGCCCCCTATGGAGGGGCCCTGGGACACACAAATAAATACACACAAATAAAATTATCCTGGCGAGGAACCCAACCATGTGCAGTTGTGAGTGACGCAGTTGTGGGTATCGACCTCGGTGAACCTCTCTGGGGTCACGACGCGTGTGACAGGTGTGCCAAAATTGGTACGGGTACGCCATGCGGACGCTGCCACCAGAGCCGTCGGTGGAGCACCCTATGGGGCCGCGGAACGTGCAAGGGGTGCGCCGAAATGGGGAGTAGAACTGCATGCGGACCCTGCCACTGGGGCCTTCGGCGGAGCACCCTATCGGGCCACGAAACTCGTGAGGGGTGTGCCGAAATGGGGGGGTGGAATCGCATGCGAACACAGCACTGTGGCTTTCGGTGGAGCTCGC